ACGTCCAGCCCCTCCAGAAGCTCCCTAACTAAATCCTCGCTAACCCTTGGGCCAGGTGTGCCTCCCCCGGGGCCCGAGGGGGGCCCAGCTGGGAGGTGGCTGTTCTGGTCCCTACTTAGGAAGACAGAGGCAAAGAAATCGTTAAACACGTTAGCTTTGCTGTCTGGTGTGACGACCAAATTTCCCAACGCATCCTGCATGATGCAAAATGATGTTTCTGCATGATGCAAAAGCTTTGGGATGGCAATTAGTCTCAAGAAGACTGCGATCATGTACCCAGGGGTGGAAAAACCAATACCTGACATAACTCTGGAAGATAAATCTCTTGGTGTCATTGACATTTTCTGCTACTTGGGTTCTACAATCAGCAGGGATCTTGACCTTCAGACTGAACTGACTAACAGAACCGGAAAAGCAGCTAAGAATCTTGGGCTTTTACAGAAACATGCATGGAATAACAGCAAACTATCAGATACGGTGAAGATGCAAATCTATAAGACATGTGCTGTCATCCCTGCTTTATGGTACAGAAACATGGACTACATAGGCTAGGCATATCAAGGGACTGAACAGGTTCCACATGAGATTTCTGCATAAGATCCTGAAAATAAAGTGGGAAGATAGAATATCAAACACAGAGGTACTGGAACATGCAGAACTAACACACTTGGACACCACTATCAAGAGGAGGAGGTCATGATGAAATCGGCCATGCCAGGAGAATGGGAGGAGACAATATCCTCAAGAACATTTTCTATAGCAAGATTCAAGGTGACTCTAAAAATCAGTGTCACCCTCTATAGCTGTACCACAATGTGTGCAAAAATGATATGAAGTTGTTCAACATCAACGTAGAGAGCTAGTAGGAGTACACTGAATTCTGTCCTATCTGAAAGGATCATCTGGCACTGGGTGCAGCTTAACATGAAGTGGCTTTGATCCAGAGGATGGAAGCAAAGTGAGAAAGAAGAAAACAACATGCTGTAAATTTGGGCTCCAACTCAGACAACATATGGATCTGCGAAACTTATAATGAGCTGTGCTGCTCTCAAATTGGGTTTGTTAGCCACAAACAGATTTACTGGAAAGTGACTATACTTTTTACATGTACACCATGATCCAGAAGATCGACAGTTAACTAACAAAGCTTAGAGAATCAACACATGTATTTGTATCTACCCATCTGAAAACCTATTGCTTACTAAAAATCCATTGTACTGGTTAACCAAACCAGTGGTGACTTCAGGGTATTTCGAAACCATATTGAAATCTCATATTCAAGAACATGGTACCATGGACTAAATGGAAGTGGAATTAAACTTGTCAGGAAGTAGGTGACTTGGCATTTGGAGAAAGAGTGCAAACCAACATACCTTTCCAACACATTCATATTAATAAGGTGATGGAAGCCTGCTTTGAAAACAGTTAGGAATTCTATCCTTCCAAGTGAAGAATGGGTTGCTGTGTTGCTGCAGGATACTACCAAATATTAGAGATGTAGGAAAAAAAATTACCACAACCAGGAAACAGAAAGGCAAGCAGTAGGGCTTGCTTAATCAAGAAATTTAGAGCTCTTGTGAATAAGCTTCTAGCCATCCTGGCAGCAGCTGCTTGCCAGTCTGAGGTTTGCTTCACCCTCTTCCACTGAAAAATTATAGGATGAGGAAATAATTACCACCTTGACGATAGAATAAACTCCAGGCAAACTCCAGGGAAGATATAGCAATGGATTGCCTTTTTAATGTAAAAAAAAAAACACCCGAACTTGTGATTAGGAGTCTTTCTTACTAATAATACCTGGACAGAGGCAACTTAGAGAACTCTTGACTTCCATAAGTGGAAAAACTAGAAGCAAATTGATTTTTAAAAACCTCTCTCTCTTATGTCTCTGCATTTTTTAAAAAAAATGCATTATGATTTAGTTATCTGGTTACGTAGAAAATTTCTGGGGAACTAGCATCTGTTACACTTCAGTCTATGTGCTCTCTCATTTGCTTACAAGCTTGCTGTTTGGTTAAGAAAGCCATTCTACTTGATAAAAAGCATCTCCTAAACTATGCTATAGACCTGAACAAAGTGGCATGCATTTGATTAGGATTCAGTCGATTTGGAGGACAGTGATTCGATTCGGATCATTGTTCTGATTCAGTTAGGTCAAATCATATCCGAAAGATTCGGCACTGCGTTGGAGATTTGGCCATAGACTAACCAGGCAGCAGACAGCTGCCTCCAGCCGGTAAGTCTGTTGGGGTTGGGAGGGGTGGAAGGGATGGAGGTGGGCTTTGGGTTTTTTGACAACAACCCGTATTTCTGTATGGAGGGCATTCTGGGGTGGGATGGGCTTCATCTCTCCCCTAAGGGTAAACCTATTTTTTCTTCTAGGTTGGCTGATCTTGTATGGCAGGCTTTAAACTAGCTTCGCCAGGGGAAGGTGCCGCTCCAAGCGGAGAGGATGCTTCGCCAGCATGCAGGTTGACAAGAGAAAGGGACGCCCAAGTAAGCAACAACGTCCCAGGAGTAGGGGGCCACAACAGTCCTGGGAGTAGGGGGGAGGCGCATGTATCCTCAGGAGGCCTCAAGTGCCTCTACACCAATGCTCGTAGTATGGGCAGCAAGCAGGAGGAACTGTGCCTCTTGATTGCAAGTAAGAATCCAGACTTAGTAGGGCTCACATACACCAGGTGGGACCATACCCACGACTGGGCAGTGCGCATTTGGGGATACACCCTATATAGAAGGGACAGGACAGAGAGGAAAGGCGGGGAGGTCATGCTCTCTGTCAAAGAGCAACTCACATCATCAAGGATTAGCTTCAGGTTAGAGGAGGGTCAGGCAGAGACATTGTGGGTCAAACTACAAGGGGGACACGGCACCTCCAGGCCCAAAGGGTAACAGTCCCTGAGAGAAGCAAGGGGGGTAAGAGTACTCAAAAACCCCCATCGCTCAGCAAGGGCATTCAGGAACGTCTGAGGACTAAAAGGGTGGTGTACAATCAGTGGAAGGGAGGGGCCTGTGAGTGTAGGAGGGCTATTAGAAAGGCCAAGGCAGAGATGAAACTCAAGCCAGTGTCCAGGGTTAAGGACAACAAAAAGTCCTTTTTCAAGTACA